ATGAATGTTCACTATCCTGCATCAAAGTGGCCACAAATAGACACCTATCTATTGCCATGAGTGAAGATGGCAGTATAACACGATCATGATGGCCAACTGCTCTACAATCTAGTTTTCTGCGGTATCTCAGGTCAATAGCTGGCTATGTTTGTTTCATCCTCTGTCATCTTCCCCACCTCCTTGCTACCTTATAGAATGGAAATGGCTGGACCCTCTGGTCCCATGGAACTGTCTTTGCAAACTGGACTTGAACTGGTTTGTCTTTCAAACAGAGCGATGAGTTCATTAGATAGAGGACTGCTCACCTAATTCCAGATTTCTGAGCTTTTCTGGAGGATGATCATAAGTACAGCTGTTATGTACAAGGGCTCTTTTCAAGATATTATAATGAATAAACTATCAAAATAGGACATAGGGCATAGGACCTGGGTACCTTCGAGACCGTCTTCTGCCACCAATAGCCTCCCACCGACCAGTCCGCTCCCACAGAGAGGGTCTCCTCAGGGTGCCATCAGCCAAGTTATGTCGGCTGGCGACACCCAGGGGGAGGGCCTTTTCTGTGGGAGCCCCAGCCCTGTGGAATGAACTGCCCCCGGAAATACGCAAGATCTCCGACCTCCGAGTGTTTCGTTGCGCACTGAAGACTCTGTTGTTCCGCCAGGCAGGGCTATCAACTTAATAATTTTAATTGGGGTATTTTAAATGTTTGGGGTTTTAAATCGGCCAAATCTATGTAATTATTTTAATTTTTAATTATTGTTGTGTGTTGTGTTTTTTAAATTGGCTGTACACCGCCCTGAGTCCTTCGGGAGAAGGGCGGTATAGAAATAAAATTATTTATTTATTTATTAAAATAGAGGGAATCATATTTCTATAATATAAGTATTCATCATCTTCTTTTAATGACCCCGTAATCCTTTGCAGGATGGAGTCTGGGCAACTGAATGGAGCTGAGTGTTTACTGCCCGGATGCCCTTCCTGTCACCAATGCAGAGTTATATTCTCGTTGTGCCCAGAAAGAGAAATATCTGCCTCTACCTAGGATCAAACTCACAGCCTCCTGATTGTGAGGCAAGAGCTCTACCTGTAGGCCACTGCACCACTCATTTCTCTAATATAAGTATTGAGTCAGTGAAATTGATTAGTGCAAAGTTAACAAATGAGCCAAGGAACTGTGGTCCAGCAATTGTTCCTTCAAACTAGAGAAGTAAATAGAGAAACTGAACAGTTTGGTTCAGTTTATACATATGACATAAAAAATTGCCAATATTGAGGATTCAGGTTTGTTTGTTTCCATCCACAGTCCCCCTCCCCTTTTTTCTTCCCTTTGTGTGTATGTGTGTGTGTGTTTTAAGATAGGAAACTTGAGAAACAAGGCCTATTTTTAAAAAATGCTTTATCCATTCAAAAGCTTTTTCAAAACTGTATCAAGGCTTAAACGAATAACAAACTTTTCTTCTTCCCATAATATGTAATAGCTCACCGTCATGATTTGGTGGCCTTCGTTCACTTTTAAGAGCGTTGAAAAGAGGAGAAATCAGAACAGATTAATTGTTTATTAGTTATTGGCTGTGATAGCTGAACTGAATCTCTATCACCAGGACACTTATCTCCCTGAATATTAGCCAAAAAAATTAGAGGTTTGGGGATAATCAAGTTTACGTACTGCTGGTGAGCTCCCATTTGTTGGCTAGAATGAGAGCCAAACTGGATTTTTGCCTGAAGGCAATTACAATGTTCTTACATAATGTAGAAAAGCGAATGCCAGAATTTACAGATTTGCCTTGGCGCTTGCCCAGCCCTTGGCAGCTGTCATCAAAGAAAAACTAGGTTTCAGGATGTGTTTGCAATTCCAAACAGAGAATGCTTTATCTGTTTTAGTAAATCCAAGCATTCTTCTGTGGTCTGGGTGAAAAACCCAAAACCGAAGCATATAATCAATGTTGAAAAAACTAGTTTTTTATTTAAAAAAAAAAATCACAAGGCCGTGATTGAAAGAGGAAAAAAAAAAGATACTTGAAGGAATATGGACTGAGTTGGTCATTGCCATCCAATCTGTATTTATTTCACAAGGGTAACATTGGCTTTCATTTGAAGATCAGGGGGAAAACTTTTGCGAAAGTCCAGAATTCAATTAATGGAATGTAATTTTCCAAAATCTCTTCTGGCGAGGCCCCAAAAGGATAGAAGTCAAGCCTCCTTTGAACTGAACTGTCATTCATGTTATTTTGATGATAACGGTAGAGGTGCAATTACCCTTAGCTTTTTTATTTGAATACTAGGCCCTATTTAACAAAATGAAATTCAGTGTAGAAAAAAAAGTAAGGTGTTACATTTAGGCAAGAAAAAACAAATGTACAGGTACAGACTAGATGAAATTTGGCTCAACAGCAGTAACTGTGAGAGGGATCTCACAGTCCTAGTGGACAATCCCTTAAATATGTGCCAGCGGTGCATGGCAGCAGCCAAAAAATGCCAATGCAATGCAATCCTAGGCTGCCTTAACAGAGGGACAGAATCAAGATCGTGACAAGTGATACTATATAATGCCTGTCAGGTTTCGATGTCATCTCAAATAAATTGCACTCCCAAACAATTAATCTTTGCTGAAATATTCCATTTATTGAGTATGACAGATCTGGCCCCGACTTCGTCGTAGCCGATACTAACCCTCTGACCCCCAAACCCTTCCCTTTCTGTTCCCCAATTCTCATCTTCTCATTGGCCAACTTCCAAGCCAGTGCAGCTCGCGCGGGAGAGGTGTTATATGTGAGCGCCCCATTGCTCCCATAATCCCCCGCGTGGCCGCGTTCTGGACCAACTGCAGCCTCCGGGTGCACCCCAAGGGGAGCCCTGTGTAGAGAGCATTGCAGTAGTCCAGGCGGGAAGTGACGAGTGCTTGAGTGACCGTGCGTAGGGAGTCCCGATCCAGAAAGGGATGCAACGAGCATATCAGGCGAACCTGATAAAAAGCCCCCCTGGCCACGGCCGTCATATGCTCTTCTAAAGACAGCCGTGCGTCCAAGAGGACGCCTAAGTTGCGAGCCCTCTCCGTGGGGGCCAGTGATTCGCCCCCAATAGCCAGCGATGGCACCAGCTGGCTATATCGGGACGCTGGAAGCCACAGCCACTTGGTCTTGGAAGGGTTGAGTCGGAGCCTGTTTCTCCCCATCCAGGCCTGCACGGCCTCCAGGCACTGGGACATCACTTCAAGGGCATCGTTAGCTTCTTAATCCAGAGAAGGTTTTCTAAAAAGGAAATAATAACTCTTTGTACAATACTGGAGTGTTTTTAAAAGTTTGAAAGATAACATCTGTAGTTTTTAATTAGATATATTATGACAACATTTCAGGCTAACTAATACAATGGAAGGTTACTGTATATGAAAATTGGTTGAAGTTGACAGGCAGAGATGATAAAATTTGTCATAATGGTCTGTGACAAATATCTGAGATCTTACGTAGCAATAATTATTTTCTAGTAACGTGCCACTTGTGGGACCCCAGTTTCGGTGTGATAGATCTTGATCTAGCATTGTTGAAATTTTTATTTTTTTAACATACTATGATGTTGGTTTCAAAATATGGTTTCAAAATATGGTTCAAAACACATAATTCAATGTGTTAATCCAGCCAAATCACAGTTATAAAGGATGACTTAGTACTTGAGGGCACCATCAATGTATTGCAATAATAATAATATAACAACAACAACTGCGCTACTTGGAACATCATACATCTTAAGAAGGTACTTGGTTGATACCTAGGATGCTGGCAGCAACCCGTATCAACCATTAGCACCAGTCAATGGTATTTGTGATGCATTTTTGAATGTTCAGTTGACTGAGTTCATATTTAATGAATAAAGATGATGATGATGATAATAATAATAATAATAATAATAGAAGTTATTTATAATAATTGAATAATTATTTATAATAATTGAATAATAATAACAATTGAAGTTGAGCGACTGTGGAAAAAGAAATCGTGTGTTGTCCCAATTGTAATTGGAGCCCTTGGAGCAATACCCAAAGAGCTACCCCGCTATTTAGAAATTCTAAATTTGCCAGACTTGAACATTTTGACTCTACAAAAAAACCACCTTACTCGGAACAGCTTACATCCTCCGACGATACCTTAACAGTTCCTAGGTCCTTGGTTAGGACTCGAGCTGCTGAGCTATTAACCAGCCTCAAAGGCTGTGAATCTCATTAAAGATTAACTAATAATAATAATAATAATAATAATAATAATAATAATAATACCCTGTTTCCCCCAAAATAAGACATCCTCTGATAATAAGTCCAATCAGGCTTTTGAGTGCATACGCTAAAATAAGCCTCCATCCAAAAATAAGTCCTCCCAAAAAATATTTAAACGCAGAGCTGGAAATCAGTTAACACGACAAGAGGATCCCCATCTTGCTCCATGTGCCCCAAAATAATAAGACCTCTCCGAAAATAAGGCCAAGCGCTTATTTCAGGGTTCAAAAAATATAAGACAGGGTCTTATTTTGGGGGAAACATGATAGGTACTTGGTTGATACCTAGGAACGCTGGCAGCAACCCATATCAACCATTAGCACCAGTCAATGGTATTTGTGATGCATTTTTGAATGTTCAGTTGACTGAGTTTCATGTTTAATGAATAAAGTATATAATAATAATAATAATAATAATAATAATAATAACAACAACAACAACAACTTTAAAACTTTATTTTATGCAATAAACTTTATGAAATAAAACTTTATTTTATTTCAACAGGCTGGCCTGGCCTAACTTCCTTTTAATTGTTAATTGTTAATTTGTTTTAAAACAATAGGGGTGTTTTAATTTGTTTGGGCCAAATATTTAATGTGTTTTTATATTATTTTTTAAATTTTGTATTATGTGTGTTCACCGCCCTGAGTCCTTTGGGAGTAGGGCAGTATATAAATCCAAAAATAAATCAAATAAAAATAAATCAAATAAAAATGCTTTAATTTAATTTTATTAGTTATTGGACATCTCAGTCAAGTGGACAGTCCAGGAAACTCTTCCTCCAAAGTATCTCCATTATGATCCTATCACCTCCCGCCAGCTGATGTGCGACCAATGTCCCCCAGGAACCTATGTCAAACAGCACTGTACAGCGTCGGCGAAGACGGAATGTGCTCCTTGTCCGGATCAATCTTATGCAGATGAATGGAACAATAATGAAAGATGTCACTACTGCAATGTGATATGCCAGGAACTGCAATACGAAAAGATCAAATGCACCAGCACCAGAAACCGTGTCTGTGAGTGTGTAGAAGGACGATACCTCAACCTTGAATTCTGTTTGAAGCACACAGCATGTCCTCCTGGATTTGGCGTCGTTCGAAAAGGTATGTATGTTCTTCTTTTCAAGAGATGATTTCAAGATTGCTCAACCATCAAAAGCTGTTTCAGGGTCACTTAGGGTGAGTAAAAAATATCTTCTGGACAATTAGATGGAAAAGTTACTGCTCCTAACCAGCCAGGTGTTATGATAAAAGAGTAAACTCTGGTTTATCCTATCCTAAAGATTAAATGGGGATGCGCTGACTCAGCGGCTAAGACGGTGAGCTTGTCGATCGAAAGGTTGGCAGTTCAGGGGTTCGAATCCCTAGTGTCGCATAAGGGGTGAGCTCCCGTTATTTGTCCCAGCTTCTGCCAACCTAGCAGTTCAGTAGCACGTAAAAAATGCAAGTAGAAAAATAGGGACCACCTTTGGTGGGAAGGTAACAGCGTTCCATGCACCTTTGGCATTTAGTCATGCCGGCCACATGACCACGGAGACATTTTCAGACAGCGCTGGCTCTTCGGCTTTGAAACGGAGATGAGCACCGCCTCCTAGAGTCAGGAACGACTAGCACATATGTGCAAGGGGAACCTTTACCTTTAAAGATTAAAACAAAACAAAAACATAGACTGATCTAATTGAGGCAGAATTTATTGAAAAGACAGTATGCTAGAATGGCTAGCAATTGGAGTAAAGATCACGCTAAGCAAATAACAGCACGGCATGAACTAATATATTAACTGCATTTGATTTTGTTATTTTTTAAAATTACGGTATAATTATTCTGTTTCTATTAATCAAAGAATAGCGTAGTACAAAGAATAAACAAATAGGATGGCAGCCATGACAGAAGTCTTTTGGAACTCCAACTAGGAGCCTAAAAGCTATCTAAGTAATGCCACACAAGATTTAACGTGTCCAGCAACATGAGGATATTATTTCGTTAGGTAAGGTAATGTCTGTAAGAAAACAACCAAGCTCAGAGAGCACCAAGGACCCACCCTACATTAATATTGGTACAGGTAGGAATGAATGAATCAGGATGATTAGGGAACATATGACGAACCATTACAGGAACTGGGCATGGCTAGTCTAGTGAAGAGAAGGACCAGGGGAGACCTGATAGCAGTGTTCCAATATTTGAGGGGCTGCCACAGAGAGGAGGGGGTCAAGCTATTTTCCAAGGCACCTGAAAGCCAGACAAGGAACAATAGATGGAAACTGATCAAGGAGAGATTCAACCTAGAAATAAGGACAAATTTTCTGACAGTGAGAACAATCAACCAGTGGAACAGAAGTTGCTTTTGGAAGTTGTTGGAGCTTCATCACTGGAGGCTTTCAAGAAGAGATTGGACTGCCATTTGTCAGAAATGGCATAGGGTCTCCTGCTTGGGTGGGGGGTTGGACTAGATGACCTACAAGGTCCCTTCCAACTCTGTTAATCTGCATCTGTAATAATTTAAAACCATCTGAGGCAGGAGATACGATCAGATGAAAGCAATGTCATGAGAACAACATCAAAAAGAAGTTACTAGGATATACTTAAGTAGTGGTTAGATGCAAGTAAGAAAAAGCTCTTACTAAGCTTATTATTTTTGCCATCTGCTTGGAACTGTAAAAACAAACATCCACCTGGCTTTGAACACTTCCTAAATAAGCATGCTCAAATGAACATGATGGATGGTATATTTCTTGTGAGAACTTGCAAGAACCGTCTCCTCGGACTGTTACCAAAAGGAATGTTGCTGGCAGCCGAACAAAATATTCTTCTTGTATGATAATGACTAATCTAACGGCGGTTGCAAATTGCATTCCACTGAGTAACATGATGGAGTGCCCTCTTTCATGGGAACATTATCTGAGATGCAATATTCATGGGTGATAACTAATAACATTTTTCATTGGGAAGAAGGCGATTCCAGGGCCTTGTGTGCCTTGGCAGACAATAGAAGTGTTAATTGATATAGCACTAGGAGAATAATTATAACAGTATCAGGGTATCAGTGAAAGTCATCATACCTGAATGGACATCATTAATTTCCTGCATCACAAATGGTCCTTGTAGAAGAAAAAAGACCAACCCAAAGCTGTAAGGAGTTCTTTTGAAAGAAAAATTGGCAGTATCCTGCATTTCAGTCAAAATTAAGACCATATTAAATGTATTTTGAAAGGGATGTTGATGGAGAAGGAAAAATGTAATCTGTCACTAAATGGACAAATTTCAGAATTTAGACTGAAGTTAAGCATGAATACGATCTGCATTTAAAACACCCTGTACAAATTGTTGTTCAAAGCTAATAAACACCTCACAATGGCTCATTCTCTACTACTTCCATCATTTACCATAGTTTATTGAACAGACTTTTCATTTAAAGTGTGATGCATCTTCTAACACTGAAGGAAACAAATACAGTAAAGGTAAAGGTTCCCCTCGCACATATGTGCTAGGTTCATATGTGCTAGTCGTTCCTGACTATAGGGGGCAGTGCTCATTTCCGTTTCAAAGCTGAAGAGATAGCGCTGTCCGAAGACGTCTCCGTGGTCATGTAGCTGGCATGAGTAAACACCAAAGGCACACGGAACACTGTTACCTTCCCAGCAAAGTTGGTCCCTATTTTTCTACTTGCATTTTTTACGTGCTTTCGAACTGCTAGGTTGGCAGAAGCGGGGACAAGTAATGGGAACTCATAGTAGGTGAGTATGCAGCAGTAGCGATTCGAACCGCTGAACTTCCGACCTTTCGGTCGACAAGCTCAACATCTTAGCCACTGAGCCACCGCGTCCCTACAAATACAGGGACAAATACAGTAGGTAGTACATAAAGAGGATTTCCTATACTGACAAAGATGTAAGCATTCTTAGAGTTCAAATCTGACATGCAAAAAAACCCAAACCCAACTTATGTTTCAAATAAAGTATTTTGTTTATGGTATAGAACATAGAAAAATCTAAAGATACTTGCTATTATACTTTCCATATAACATATTGGTTTGTATTGCATTTTGCTGATCTTCAAATCATGGACTGGTTATTTGTGCTCTCCTATTTTATTCCTTTTATTTGAAAACTGCTGACCAGCAATAGCTTCCATGTATTAATTATTGGGCAAATAGATGGGGAAGAAATGGAGGTAGTGACAGCTTTTATTTTCCTGGGCTCCAAGATCACCGCAGATGGGGACTGCAGCCAAGAAATTAAAAGACGTTGCTCCCGGGGAGGAAAGCTATGGCAAATCTAGATAGCATACTAAAAAGCATCACCCTGCCAACAAAAGTACATATAGTCAAGGCTATGGTTTTCCCAGTTGCAATGTATGGCTGTGAAAGTTGGACCATGAGAAAGGCTGAGCACCAAAGAATTGAGGCCTTTGAACTATGGTGCTGGAGAAGACTCCTACGAGTCCCTTGGACTGCAAGGCGATCAAACCGGTCAATCCTAGAGGAGATTAACCCTGACTGCTCTTTAGAAGGCCAGATCCTGAAGATGAAACTCAAATACCTTGGCCGCCTAATGAGAAGGAAGGACTCACTGGAGAAGAGCCTAATGCTGGGAAAGATTGAGGGCAAAAGAAGAAAGGGACGACAGAGAATGAGGTGGCTGGATGGAGTCACTGAAGCAGTAGGCATGAGCTTAAATGGATTCCAGAGGATGGTAGAGGACAGAAAAGCCTGGAGAAACGTCCATGGGGTTGTGATGGGTCAGACACGACTTCGCAACAAACAACAACAAAATTAATTATTGCTGTATCTGCCTCAAGAAATCATTTTAGCAAGTTATATTTGCAAACATAGTATGGTATTTTTAACACAGCCTCATTCAAGTATAACTGACAAGTTTGGAAAGCAACTAAATTTTGGACCTACTAAATAAACATGTATCTTCAAGTGAATCTTGGCTATTTGGACAAATCCATTGGCAACATTTTTGGAAATTGCTTTTTGGAAATCCTTTAGGAGTGACAGAGAGTGACTGGCCCAAAGTCACCTAGCTGGCCTTGTATTTAAAGCAGTACTAGAATTCATGGTCTCCCAGTTTCTAGTAATATACATGGAGGAAGACTGAAAAGAAAAAAGCACCTTAAGATATTGGCTTCATTTTCAGAGTTCTGAAGCAAAATGGGGAGAATGTTGTGAATAAGTATTTTTTTTTGAAGCTAATCTACATAACGTCTTGCAAGTTTTATGCCTCCTAATCCATTTGATGGTTTCCAGTCTGGACCAATATTTCAATGAAAAGTGCTTCCATATGTGGAGAGCCTGGGTACTAATTCTGATCCCACATAGAGGCCATTGTAGCAGGGTTGGGTTCAACTTACTTTACTACCGGCTCGCAACTTCTGCGCATGCGCAGATCACCCATGATGACATTGTGGCAGGTGGACGGAGCCTCCCGACGGTTTTACTACCGGTTCTATAGAACCGGACCGAACCGGGGGCAACCCACCACTGTATTGTAGTTATCCTGATGAAAAGTGAATATGTTGCAGCGTTGGAGTACCAAATGAAAGTTAGAATGGGTCTGCTAGATCAGAGCTGTCAAACTCCCAGTCCATGGGCCAGGTGCATAATACACTGGCCACACCCATGCTCAATTTAGCGAAGGGGGGAAAAAAAGTCCTGCTATGTCATGTGACACTGCCATGACGATGTGAGTTTGACACCCCTGGCCTAGATAGAAGATCAACAGGATGAAGAAAAGACCACAATATTTGGGGTATTTTTGATTCAGCTGATCAAACAGAAGATCTTCTTTAAAGGGAAGTTTCAGCTGTTTCTTTAAGTCTGTAATGAATCAGCCCCATAAAAGGCCCTAGGGCCGTGATGGTGAACCTGTGGCACACGTGCCAGAGGTGGCACGCAGTGCCCTCTCTGATGGCATGTGAGCCATTGCCCCAGTTCAGCTCTGCTGCACATGTGCATGCGAATGCGCCTCTCACCAGCCAGCTGGTCTTTGGGTCTCTGCCGTGCATGCACGGGGGGTGGGGTGCATGCAGGGGGCGTATGCACATGTGTGGGAGGTGGGGCGCGTGGGGAGGCACATGTACATGTGTGGGGGCAAGGCACATGCGCGGGGGCTGCAGGCACATTGCATTTTGGGGGTTCGGGTGCACGTGCATGCATTTGTGCATGCATGCGTGCGCACTTTGGACACTCAGCCCGGAAAAGGTTAGCCATCACTGCCCTAGAGATTCCACAAAATTAAACCACCTCCCATTTTTAGCTCTTGTGGGTGAGAACTAAAGTTCATCTCAATCTGTGCTTCATATGACCTAAAAAGCCTAAACAAAATTGGAAGAAATGGCCTGCATGGCATCTGCAACAGTACTTTGCCCCAGCGTCTGTTTCTCTGCATAATAGTGTTTATGATGATAATATTTTCCACTGCAAGTTCCATGTGAGCATAGTGACAATAACAGCCTTTGTTCTCAACCCCAAATTTAATTTACTTTTGCAAATATTTTAATTTAAAAAAGAGCACACAAAAAACAATTGCTCTGAAAAATAACTTGATTATCCTAGGGAAGAAAACAACCACCACCAGTAATATATAGTATCTGACATGTTAGTTTGCAATACCTTTTATTTTATCTTGGAAAATTTCATAGTTATCTAGTCACCTGAAAGTAGAATCAATATATAACCTTTACAGAGCTACCTTAATAAATTATAACTTGCCTTTAAAAGTCTGTGGAGACTCATTTAGTGTTTCCAAGTACATAAGTTACCTAATTCTATCTTTTGGTCAAAGATAACAACAACAACAATAATAATACTACATAATTCTTAGCAAAGATTTTTTTCCCCATAAAAACAACAAATAGATATGTATACAAGTGGGTTTGGAAAAACAACCATTTTCTTTGATTTATTACACAAATGGAAATTTGCTCAGAAGAAGCTTAAATCTATCTGATCAAGTTGGAAGCCCCAAAGCCATCTATGAAAGAGTGACCATGAAATTATAAAACGCCAGCTGGTTGATAAACTCTTCCTTTTCTGCTTCCAAATTGTGTAAGAGATTAGGGTTGTTAAGCATCAACAGGCTATAATGTAGGGTTGACTTGCTCCATGAAACTCACACGGGAATAGTTTCAAAAGCCAGCTTCAAGGAAAATAATATTTGTTGTCTGCTGAATGACACAATAGAATTGATTTCAGTGTCCAGAATAAAAAGGGGAGAATTCATTAAAAGTGTTTAGGAAATGTTTTATCAGTGGTGTTATCAGTGGGGACAAAAGCACCAGTTTCTTCATCAGCCCTTCTAACAGCTGCTATTCTCTTTGTATTTGACAACAGGAATGGGTAATAACAATCTGCCATTTTGAATTTCCCACAGTTCCATCAACTTTCTGACATAAGGTGGTGGAATATTAAAATAACAGCCTCTTTTTTGGCATGTTACTTCCTGTCAGTACTCTGAAGACACATTATGGCTCAGCAGGTATTCTGGCTCATTTAGGAGAAACGCAGAATGTGGATAATTAGGAAATGCCAAACCAGAGAGCTGTGTGGCTTCATTGTCTCAAGCCAGCCAGAGACAAGATGCTGATGCTAATTTTATCCTTGGTGGGGGGGAAGGAATCAGCTGATTAACTACAGTTTTGGAATTTAGGAGTTAGGTGGGCTATCCAGTAACCAGCATCATCTGAATTTCTTCTTCCTCCTCCTCCTCCTCCTCCCTCCCCCTCCCTCCTGTTCCTCCCTCTTCCTCCCCAAAAGTTATTCGATGACAATATGTGGCAGTGCGGCACTTGTCTCCTAGTTTTTAAAGAAGCCATGCTTTTTCTCAGGATCATACGGAAGCTGTATAAGACATCTTGGGAAATCTTGGGAAAAGATGCAGTTGGTTTAATTAGTTGCACTTCTGATTTTATATAAGCTCATATATTCCAAAGTATCTTTTTCTAATCATTGTTGAAGTGCCTAATGTTTATGATAGATGAAATAGATGGAGAGAGATGGAGAGAGATAGATTGATAGAGAGATAGAGAGAGAGAGAGAGATAGAGATGGATACAGAGCAATAGATAGATAGATGGATAGATTGATAGATTGATAGATGGATGGATGGATGGATGGATGGATGGATGGATGGATGGCAGAGGTGAGTTTTAGCAGGTTCTGACCAGTTCTGGAGAACCAGTAGCGGAAATTATGAGTAGTTCAGAGAACCGGTAGTAAAAATTCTGACTGGCCCCACCCCCATCTATTCTCTGCCTCCCAAGTTCCAGCTGATTGGGAGGAAATGGGGATTTTGCAGTAACCTTCCCCTGCCATGCCCACCAAACCACAGCCACAGAACCGGTAGTAAAAATTTTTGAAACCCACCACTAATGGATGGATGGATGGATGGGTAGATAGATAGATAGATAGATAGATAGATAGATAGATAGATAGATGGATGATATAGTTTCTGGTTGAGTCAGACTAGTTTTGTATGAATCATCTGGCTGAACGTTTCATTTAAAAGCTATGTAGTTGAAAAATACTATTCTTCCTATAATAGGATTTCTTTGTGCAGTGTTATTGTTTTTCATTTAACCTGGACGAAATACAAATAATATTTTCTGTCACCTTCTGAAGTGAAATAGCTCCTTTCTCTGGGGAGTTTTCTGAATTATTATTATTATTTTTTTTTACAAAACCAAAAGATCAGGGTGAGATTTGAAACATTAATCTACCAAAATATGCTGGATACCAGTCTTTCCTCTTTCAAAGAAAATCAGATTGTTTTTTCATTTCTATCCTTGGTGTTGTGGCCATTAGTGAATGGGAAATTCTTGAAGTGCTATAAACAAAGTGATTGATAAATAGTTTTTTTTTTTTTAAAAAAAATCTCTTTCCTTTTCTGCAGGTACCCCTGAAAGCGACACCGTTTGCGAGAGATGCCCAGAAGGATATTTCTCTAATGATACATCATCCGAAGCTGCTTGTCAAATGCATACTAACTGCAGTGCCCTGAGTCTCAAACTGGTGCAGAAGGGAGACTCCACACACGACAATGTGTGCCAGGGAGAAGACAGTGACAAATTGAATCAGCAATGTGGAATCGGTGTGTATATGATTCAAAACAGAAAATACAGGTAGTCCTCAAGTTATGACCACAATGGAGCCCAACATTTATGTTGCTAAGTGAAACATTTGCTATAAGTGAGTTTGTCCTACTTTACGACTTTCCTTGCCACAGTTGTTAAGTGAATTGTTGCATTGGTTAACTTAGTAACATGGTTGTTAAATGAATCTGGCTTCCTCAGCGGCTTTGCTTGTCATATGAACCAGTTGCCGAGCATCCAAAATTTTGATCGTGTGACCATGGAGATGCTGCAATGGTCATAAGTGTGAAAAATAGTCAGTGTATAACGCAGGGCTCTTCAAACTTGGCAGCTTTAAGACTTGTGGACTTCAACTCCCAGAATTCTCCAGCCAGGATAGCTAGCTGGAGAATTCTGGGAGTTGAAGTCCACAAGTCTTAAAGCATAGCTGGCTGGAGAATTCTGGGAGTTGAAGTCCACAAGTCTTAAAGCTGCCAAGTTTGAAGACCTCTGGTATAACGAAAAGGGATAGAATGTCATGTGAACTAGGCAAATACAGGTAGTCCTTGTCTTACAACAGTCCATTTAGTGACCATTCAAAGTTACAACATCATTGAAAAAAATGAGTTATGACCATTTTCCACCCTTCCACCCTTGCAGCATCCCCATGAGCATGTGATCAAAATTCAGACTCATGGGCTCACCTTTTGCAACATTCTTGACAAGCAAAGTCAACGAGAAAGCCAGATTCACTTAGCCACCAGGTTACTATCTTGACAATTGCATTGATTCACACTGACGTTGTGGCAAGAAAGGCCGTCAAATGAGGCAAAATTCATTTCCCAACTGTCTCACTTAGCAACAGAAATTTGGGGCTATCCTTTGGTTGACGTTTCAGACCAGAATCTGGAATGTCATCTGTCAAAAGATATTCTGGCGGATCCTCCCTTCAAAGCGTGATTGAACTAAATGACCTCTAAAATTCTTTCAAATTTAGGATTCTATGAAATAAGTAACTATGAAATTGATACGGATCGCAAACACATCTTTTCAATTCAAAACAGCGTTGGGCTTTTTCTCCATTCTGTTAACCTCATTGTCTTTGCCTTTAAAAAAAAATCATTATATAATAGAATAGAATAGAGTAGAATTTTTTATTGGCCAAGTGTGATTGGACACACAAGGAATTTGTCTTGGTGCATATGCTCTCCGTGTACATAAAAGAAAAGATACGTTCATCAAGAATGGCCTGGTTTAGCTCAACAGACAGAAGCACTGTAATTTAACACCAGCTGTCTGCAATTAAAAGTAAGATCGAATCTCACCAGGCTCAAGGTTGACTCAGCCTTCTATCCTTTCTAAGGTAGGTAAATTGAGGACCCAGTTTGTGGGGGCAATAAGCTGACTTTGTATAAATATACAAAAGTATGAAGGCTATTCCTTAACACATTGTAAGCCGCCCTGAGTCTCCGGAGAAGGGCGGCATATAAATCAAATAAAAATAAAATAAAAAAAATAAAATAAAATAAAAAGAATCATAAGGTACAACACTTAATGATAGTCATAGGGAACAAATAAGCAACCAGGAAACTATCAATATAAATCTTAAGGATACAAGCAACAAAGTTACATTCATACAGTCATAAGTGGGAGGAAATGGGTGGTGGGAATGATGAGAAGATTAATAGTAGTGCAGACTTAGTAAATAGTTTGACAGTGTTGAGGGAATTATTATAAGAATTATAAGAACTTTGCACAGCAACACTCTCTGGCTTGTCGCAGCCTGGAGTGACACCTTCTCTTTGTTGGGGTGCTCTGTGAATCTTCTGCTGAGCAAATCTAGAGTCTCACTTCCTCCAGGGAAGCAACGCAGTGCAGCTGCTCTGTTTGAAGTGAGTGCCATCCTGCTTCAAAAGGATATTTTTATACACTTTGCCCTCCAAAGGAAGCGCTCTGTTAACACTTGCAAAGTGTTAAGTTCAAAATAAATCCCATTCTTTTTCAGTAGGGCCCAATCCCTGTTGGCCTTCGTAGGATGGTAGCTTTTAGAAAAACCATACTGTACTTTCTCACAGCAGTTTTTGACAGTTGCCCCAGAGGTTAATGTCCTGATTTTAAAGTCAGTATCTGTATGCTTTTAGATGTCACCTTGTGTGAAGAAGCGTTCTTCAGGTTCATCGTGCCTAAAAAACTATCTTCCACCTGGCTGAACACCCTCATGGACAGTCTGCCTGGGGTGAGGATCAGTCTTGAAAACAGAGAAATAATTAAACAGAAGAGTAGCCTGCAAGATCAGACATTTCAGCTACTGAAGTTATGGAAAGAGCAAAATAAGGGCCACGGTACAGTCAAGAATATTGTCCAAGGTATGTACTAAAGAAAAGCAAGAAATTATGTTTACCCACTGGGCCCGTTTCAGAGGTGAGTTTCAGCAGGTTCTGACCAGTTCTGGAGAACCGGTAGCGGAAATTTTGAGCAGTTCGGAGAACCGGTAGTAAAAATTCTGACTGGCCCCGCCCCCATCTATTCTCTGCCTCCTGAGTCCCAGCTGATCGGGAGGAAATGGGGATTTTGCAGTATCCTTCCACCGGAGGGAATGGAGATTTTATAGTATCCTTCCCCTGACACGCCCACCAAGCCATGCCCACCAAGCCACACCCACAGAATTGGTAGTAAAAATTTTTTGAAACCCACCACTGGTCCGTTTATGTAAAATGTTTGTTCCCGAGTATAGATTAAATCACCACAACAGTTAAACCGATCAGTTGAAGGTGGCCATTGTGGTTCTCACCTCAGTAATCAGAGCAGCTTCTGAGTGCATAAGCCACGTGGCCACGTTTTGTATCTTTTAGTTAGGCGCTGGAGAACTGAGTGTATGCAAGTAGGAGACCAAGTGCAAAGCAGCAGATAATTGGGTAGCTTCTCCCTTTCTCTTTTCTTCTTTGCTTTTAGTGCTCAGTAGGTTGAGGGGATTTTCTTTGACTGCAGTATTTATAGCAGCCTGGAGCAAGATAAGAACTGTCATTCCTTATCTTTAGCATTTGGACTAGGTGGAGGTGACTACAATCACCTCCTTAAAAAGTGATTGCATTAAAAATGCTTTCAAGGTTAGGGTTTTCAAATAAATGCCCTTTTTTAAAAAATTTGAAATTAGCTTTCTGTGGCTTTCCACTTATAATAGTGGCCAAAATTGTGGAAACCTTTTGGGAAAAGTGTATTTTCTAAAACTAGCTAATAACACCACTTTTTTTTTGAGTAATACCATAAAATTATATATCAATGGAAAGATAATTTAATAAAGAATGTAATGCAATGACTTTTATGAAGGATTTGCTATTAGAGTAGCAGTTACAGTATAAAGAAGAAAAGTGGAACACGTAGAAAAAAAACGAGATATACAAAAATTATCACCGTAGAAAAAATGAGAGATACAAAAATTATCACCATGTCAGTTAATATTTAGTTGGGTAACCTTTAGCATGAATTATGGCCTTACAACGTCTTCCCATGGAGTGAACCAAGTCTTTTAGTTCTGCAGCTGTTATCATATGAAACCAAGATTGAATGATTGCTTCTATTAACTGGGTTTCATTGCTGGGTCGCTTCTGACTAACAAGTTTCTTTAGTCGGCTCCATAGATTTTCAATGAAGTTAAGGTCTGGGCTATTCCCAGGCCATTCCAGAAGTGGAATATGATTATCTTGAAACTCCACAAAAAAAAAAAAAAATGGTGTTATTAGCCATCAAACCTCAAAAATACACTTTTCCCAAAAGGCTTCCACAATTTTGGCCACTACTGTACTCCTAAGCATTACATAAAGATGCCATAACTTCCTCCCTGCTATTTCTCCATGAAGTTGCCTTCATGTCTCATCCTTAGTTCAGTTATAGGACAGGTTAAAATTATTATTACCCTGTTTCCCCGAAAATAAGACATCCCCTGATAATAAGCCTAATTGAGCTTTTGAGCGCATGCGCTAAAATAAGCCTCCCCCCCGAAAATAAGCCCTCCCGGAAAATATTTAAATGCAGAGCTGGAAATCAGGTAAGATGGTAAGAGGAGCCCCATCTTGCTCCATGCACCCCAAAATAATAAGACCTCCCCAAAAATAAGGCCAAGCGCTTATTTCGGGGTTCAAAAAAATATAAGGCAGGGTCTTATTTTGGGGGAAATACGGTAGGTGTGTTGATATTAAAACAGAGTTTCCTCCCTTACTGGGATATCACCCAAAGCAACCTCAAGATGGGTAAAAGCAGTTAGATTGTACCATGAGGAAATGCATTAAAAAGGCAAGATCATGACAAAGAGGAGAGAAAATTTCCTAGAGGTATTGAGTTCTAGAGCCAGTTTGATGTTAGTGGTAAAGGCACTGGGTTAGAAACCAGTGAGTTGTAGTCCCATTTTAGGCATGAAACTAGCAGGGCCAGTCATTCTCTCTCAGCCCTTGGAAGCAGAAAATGGCAAACCACTTCTGAAATCTTGCCAAAACAACTGCAAAGACTTATTCAAGCAGTTACTAGGAGTCAACACTGACTTGAAAGCACACACCCAAAATATTTTCTGACAACTTAATTTCACTTCAGCAGTGACTTTTCAGTGCTTTCAAGTTAATCTTAACTTTTGACGACTACATAGACAAGTCTGTGCACGAGTTTTTTTGGTAACATTTTTGGGAAGTGATTTGTCATTTTCTTCTTCCTTAAGCTGAGAGAGAGAAGAACTGGTACAAGCCAGCTGATTTTGCGCCTGGCAGGACTAGAACTCCCAGCCTCCTGGCTTCTAGCCCATGCCTTTAATCATTTCACAAAATGACTTTGGAAATGATGTTGGAAATGCCATCAGACACCAGGATCGTATTATCATATGTGGTGGACGTGTCCAGAAACGAGAAATTATTGGATTAAAATTAAAACATGGTTAGAAGAAATGATACAATAACATATGGATCTAAAACCTGAACTGTTACTATTGGGTATTTTACCAGAGAAATTTAGTAAAGAAAATACATATTTGATTATACATGTTATAATTGCAGCGAGGATAGTATTTGTGCAAAGATGGAAAGCAGAGAAAATCCCTACAGAGGGAAAAGTAATTAAGAAAATATTTGCAGAAATGAATAGATTGATTTTGACAATTAAAGAAAGAGAGGAATCGGAATACTTTAAGATATGGCGGCAATTTTATTGGTTAGAGAATATATAGGGCAATGTTGTAACAAAATGAGCAAAGAAGAGGAGAAAGGAGATAGATAAATGTATTAACAGAAAAGTAAGAAATGTGGGAGAAATGTCACAATAAATGAAATGATATGATAAATATTGGAGGAGTAAGAAGAAGCACAAAAGATCTACTCAGATGATACACTGAATGATTGATTATGTACTCTATGTTTGTTTGTCTATAAAATAAAAAACATTTTTTTAAAAAAAATGACTGGGTACAAAATGAAAATTCTTTTAGAGAAATCTGAGCTTGTTATAGCTATATGGAATCTAATCAGCCCAGATGGCATTGTATTCATATACTCAGATTTCCCCTTTTATTGGTTTTAATTTGTAGGGTAGATTTCAAGAAAGTAGTGACAGAAAGAAGGGCTTACATCTATCAGCATTGTAGGGAGATAGGTTCAATCATATTTTTGTGACCTTAATGAAGAGAACTAAACAAATTTAATTCTCTCTCTCTCTTTTTTTTTTTAGGTATTGATCTTTGTGAAAATAATGTCTTAAAGCACATTGGCCATCTCAACATCACCCTTGAGCAGCTCCATATTCTGATGGAAAATTTGCCAGGGAAAAATGTAGGCAGAGAAGAAACTGAAGAGATTTTTAGGATGTGCAAATCCACAGAGCCAATTCTGAAGCTTTTGAATTTGTGGAGGATAAAAAATAAAGACCAAGACACCATGAAGAGCTTGATGTTTGGACTGAAGTATCTGAAATCGTACCACTTCCCCAAAACAACAATTCAAGGTTTTCGGAAAGTGGTGAAATTCCTTCACAGCCTCACAATGTATAAATTATACCAGAAGCTTTTCTTAGAAATGCTAGGAAACCAGATCCATTTGGTAAAAATGAGACGTGGGTAGTTTTAAGTTCTCTGATCTTTTATTTGCCACTTGCTGCTAGCAATAATTAAATGGGGGGAGGGGAATGTTTTCCTATAGAATAATGCTTATTTATATTTATATGACTGACTGGGATAGCTTAGACCAGGGGTGGGCAATGATGGCCCCTTTATGACTGGTGGACTTCATTTCCCAGAATTCCTGAGCCAACCATGCTGGCACAGGAATTCTGGGAAATGAAGTCCACCAGTCATAAAGGGGCCATCATTGCCCACCCCTGGCTTAGACTATCTTAGAATTTTTGTTGTTGTTTTGTAATATTAAAATGCTTATCTGGACTCTGACTCCATCCAAGAATTCCAGTGAATTCCATGGACATAGAGAGAAATAATAGCAAACACAAAAAACAAACAAAAAAAAAGCATCCCAATTTGCTATTTATATTAATTTGAAATCTAAATTGTTGCATGTATTTATTAACTTCATTGGCAACTATTTGAGATTAAGTGCTGAAGCAGATGACCACTCGTTATAGAATCATAGGGCTTGAAGGGACCTTAGAGGCAGTGGTGGGATTCAAATAATTTAACAACCGGTTCTCTGCCCTAACGATTTCTCCCAACAACCTGCTCAGAAAGTTAACAACCGGTTCTCCTGAAGTGGTGCGAACTGGCTGAATCCCACCACTGCTTAGAGGTCTTCTAGTCCAACCCCCTGTCCAAGACAGGAGTCCATCCCGGACAAACCATGTCATTGTTTAAACATTTATGGCCTGTTGTGTATTAATGGCCCTAAAACTTTATTTTCCAGCCCTTCAGAGTCACTAGTGTGGTGTCATTGAAATTCAATATCAAATCAATAAGAGATTTTCTCCTCAATTTCAGGAAAGAAAAACAAACCCCGCCACGCATTCAGATGTGCTTTATGCATCTTAAATGCAAAATCCCTCCTCCCTTTATCCCTACTTATATGACATGATGGTGTTATCTTAGTGGCCTTTGCTGTCCTTGGCTACAGATTATAAGAAGGGTGAGTCTTGGCTAGGAAAAAAAAAAATGCTAGGCTCCTACAAATGCAAATCCACAATAGAGGAAAAGCATAGTTCCATTTGCATAAAGAGGCCAGTGGCCATTCATCCTCTATTACCGGAATAGTATTTCTCAAACCTATCAGCCTAATGATGCAGGGAAGGGCTGGGGAATTCTGGGAGTTGGAGTCTATGCGTCTTAAAGTAGACAAGTTCTAATGCAGTGGTTCTCAACCTGTGGGTTGGGACCCCTTTGGGGGTCGAACGACCCTTTCACAGGGGTCGCCTAAGACCATCCGAAAACACATATTTTCAATGGTTTTAGGAATAATTTTATGGTTGGGGGTCACCACAACATGAGGAACTGTATTAAAGGGTCGCGGCATTAGGAAGGTTGAGACCCACTGTTCTAATATTTCTCAAACACGGCAACCTTAAGATGTATGGATTTCAACTCTCAGAATTCCTCAGCCCATCCACACATCTTAAAGCTCACAAGTTTGAGAAACACCGTTCTACTCATTTCTCCACTATGTTTCAAGCTACTCCTTACTTACACCTCTGTCATGAAGCACACACCAGGCTCCAAAACAGGGCCAGTGGTACTTATTTCACGCACAAAAGCTTTAAAAAGTACCTCCCATTTTTTTGCTTCCCATAACTATAGAGAAATGATTGCTATCGTTTCAATTCAATAGGTCCAAAATCTCTAAATTCTGCCATAGTGGCTAGTTCCATATGTCTCCATTTTTGCTACTGTGGTCTTTAGATGGGCAGAAATTGCAGTTCCCAATATTCCTAGCCTGCAGGTGTCAAATTGGCCAAGCTAAATTGGTCTATTTTTCAGTGTTCCTCCCAGTTCAGTCCTAAATCTCCTGCCATGTTCACTTCTCTTGAATGAACTTGAGTTACTATAAGGAAACAAAATGTTTTTTTGGCTACTTTCTCCCACCTGAAGGAAATATTTTTTTTGTGTATAAAAAAATTAAGTAACATATCCTTCCTTTCTCCCTCCAAGCCCCAGATTCATTAATCATTTTTTTTCTTTTACAAAAAAAAACAAACTACCATCTAGAGCCATTTATTTTTCTCTTTCCAAGTGGCATTGATGTGGATCCATACATTGCAGGCTTGAAGCTTGCTCTAAACAAGCAATTACAATAATTGTTTCTTGCAGGAAGAAAAAAACACACAGTTGTTTTGTTTTCTTTTGCAATTTAATCTTGAATGTATGAAGGAATCTTAAATTTGAATTATAAATAGGTTGCAGAACTTCATTGATGTCATCAGAATGAACAGGCGGTCTAATCTTTTGCATTGTCTGTTGGCTGACTTCTAAAGTTGATAAAACTTCCAAGTCGAAAGCTTTTTGTATGTTTTTCACCCTCCAATTTATAGAGGGGAAATGAATGGAATGTGTACTGTTTATTTTCAAGCTAAAAGGGATGGGGAGATATTTATATGTTATGTTTTGTAGTAAATCTTTCGGTCATTCTTCCTCTGTGGATTTTTAAAGATGATTTCTTAGGTGTGTCTGTATAGTATGTAATATCTTTTGGAAGTAATTTCCAGGAAAAGAAAAGAAAAGAAAAAAAAATGTTGTGAGTAGATCATTAAGAAGCTGTACATTTTGTTTTAGAACATGAATGTACCCTATTTAAAAGATGAGTTTTCAAGTTGGATTTTTGACCTTGTTTTATAAAGCTATTTTTTTCATTTAAAATCTGTGGCTTGTTGATTCTTTTGTCTCACAGTCCCTAAAAAACTCTGTTCTGGCTACTTCAGAAATCAAAAAGAGCCATCATAGTACATGGACATGATCTCTACACAGTGGTGGCTGAATATGATTTTAGTTCCCACAGCTAAGTACTGATGACAATCAGGATTTCCAGCCATCTGGAGAAGTTTAATCTGGTTCAGCGGAATATGGTGTCCATCTCCCTTTAACCTTTCTTACCTTATAAGAATCTCTTCAGTTTTAAAGTTGACAATGCTTTTATAGATATAAAACAGTGTTTCACAACTTAGACAACTTCCAGATAGATATATTTCAGCAATAGCAATATATTGCTATTACTATTGCTAGAAATAATATTTCTAGCAATAGTAATGCTGGATGGGGAATTCCAGAAAGTGACGGTCATATATTTAGGATATGCTCTGTTTGGAAAACACTGGTCTAAAAATATGAAGATATAGAGTTACATTGTACTGACTATGTTCATTTAACAAGCTAATCCCATGATGGGGAATTTATGGCACATGTGCCGGAAGTGGCACACAGAGCCATCTGGGCACACGAGCCGTTGCTCGTTGCTTTCTGGGTTCCGGCGCACCGGCCAGCTGGTCTTCACATGCGTGGGAGCACTGGAAACTGGAAGAGCAGCCGCCCAGTGTGCATGTGTGCACAGGGAAGTTGATCTTCAGGTTTCTGGTGTGTGCATATGCACTGGCCAGCTGGTCATCTCACGTGTATGTGCACCAGAAACCGAAAGACCAGAAACTGGAAGATCATATTCCCGGTGCGCACATGTGCACAGGGCCCCCCCCCTGCTCTTCTGGTTTCTGGCATGTGCGTGTGCTCCCATTTTGGCACTCAGTGCCGAAAAGGTTTGCTAACACCGTGCTAATCCATGCTTAACTGACTCATGGTTGACTTAATACAACTTTTTGGATTCATACAACATTACTGAATGTGTTTACACGATGCATTCAGCTACAGATTACTGTATTTTAATGTACTGCTATATAAATTTAGCCTTTGGATCAGAACCTGGTTTTTCTCATGCCCCATATTAGGTTGGACACTGTCTATTGAGCTCAATGAAGACTTAAATTCTAACAATGTTCTCAAGGAGTAGAGTTAGCTCAATGTGTTTCTAACTACTGGTAATTTGCCTAGATTTTTCACAAAGACATTTTCCTATATCACCGATACCACATTGCTTAGCTGCCAACTATATTTGGGACCTTTAGAACAAATATGTTGTTTACGACTAGTTACGATGCCTTTCAATATAAGCAAAAACACAGGGAACGATCTAAGCAAAGAAAAAAATGTATCTAATGGTAACAGAATTGGAAGGGACCTTGGAGGTCATCTAGTCCAACCCCCTGCTCATGCAGGAGACCTGTACTAGGGATTTGAACTGCAGAACTGCCGACCTTTCTGATCGACAAGCTCAGTGTCTTAGCCACTGAGCCACCTAGTCAGGCTCAGTGATTGACTAAAAAAATGCACGTATTCTAAAAGCAATTCAGAATCCTGTTGGATTGGAAGAACATAGAATGATAGATAATACTGTGAAATAATACAATACATGCAAATATCACAAATTAGGAGTATTTGATGGCCACCAAAATTATGAAACCAGACCAACCAAGGCAGGGGTGGGTTCTAAATTTTTTTACTACCGGTTCTGTGGGCGTGGCTTATTTTGTGGACGTGGCTTGATGGTCATGTGACAATTCTTTAGGATTTAGCAGAGGTACTGGTCTACCAGGCTTTTAACTGCTTGCAGAGCTGTACCAGTCTACCCATTTATTTTTGGAGGCACCGGTCTACTCATTTGTTTTTGGTGGCACCGGTCTACTCATTTGTTTTTGGAGGCACCGGTCTACCCATTCGTTTTTGGAGACACCGGTCTACTCATTTGTTTTTGGAGGCACTGGTCTATTCATTTGTTTTTGGAAGCACTGGTCTACCTATTTGTTTTTGGAGGCACCGGTCTACCACCACACTGCCTTTTAACACTGATCAGCTGTAGGGCGGCCCTTTGAAGCCCGCGGCAAGAGTTTAAACAGTTTTTTTCCTTCTAGCCGATCAGCTGGGACTCGGGAGCTCGGGAGGCAGCAATAGATGGGGGTGGGGCCAAATAAAAGGTAAGAATAATGCGGGGTGGGTGAGTGGGAGGGCCTAGCTCCCAAACAAAGAGAACCAGTTCGGTGATGTCATATCATCACCACTACCGGCTCGGCCGAACCGGGCCGAACCGGGAGGAACCCACCACTGAATCAAGATAACTATATAGTGTACAAAATTCAGAAGCATGGGAACATACAGTGTAAGATTGCCTTACACTGAATATCCTTCTAGGGCAATATTGTCAATTCTACTTTTGTTCCATTGTAG